TCTTTAAAAAAAAGGAACGTTTTGCAGTCAACAATGAAATTATAATTACCTTATAGACACAAGAAATAATTGGAAATATGAGCTTATATACATTGAATAATAATCCTTGCATTTGATATTGCACCTTATTACGCATTGAGACGTCTCAAAGCACTTCACAGGATACACGTAAAGTGGATTGATTGTGTATTTTGTGAGTGAATTGCACATTCACTTTTAACATTAAAATTAAATGATACTGTTTACTGTCACATGTCTATTTTTCCAAGTTACTATAATGCACCACTAACTGATGAACAATGTAATAATAATAATCTTTGCATTTGATACAGCACCTTATCACATTGTTGAGACATCTATCTTAGTTATGTTTTATGACTGATTATTCTTTTATTTTTAATTTTGCTTTATTCAGGCCATCCAGCTCCACATCTTATGCACTTTAATTAGTTGTTAGACTTTCTCATAGCACAAAATCAGTCAAAATGTCTCAATATCCAATTTACCTCAGTCACTGAGATGAGCTTCTTGCGTAATTGTAACATCAATAATGAAATTCAAACAATGCTGCTTTAGTATTTATAAATATTAATGTAATTGGCCTGCAATCCTGTCCTCCTTTGTTCCTTGTTTGTGGAATTTCTCCCCACCTCGTGGTTCCTGTTTTTTGCTTTTCACTTGTTGTTTTCTCTTGCTTGTGTAAAGTTGTGTATGATGTTTAAACTCAGTACATATCTCTGCTTTATTTACATTAATATTAGGGAGTCACAGTTCTGCATTCATGTTTTTATCTTTCTCGTTGCTTTCTCTGTCTGTGACATTGATGTGCATCTCTTGAGGTTAGTCCTTTGGGATTTCTCCTGGTGCTTGCGCACACTACAGTGGAATGATATTTTACATATTACGTAGTAATCATTTTATATCTTTTCTCTCCTCTCTCCATTTCAGTTGTGTAGATTTGCACTGTGACATACTTTGTTATTTTGGTAGTGGCAACTTGTAGTATGGGGAGTGGGGGGGGGGGGGGGGGAGGAGGAATCTGCACCATTACCAATTGTTCTTCCATTTTATCTCTCTCATAATTATTTCTTCATTCATAAGCAGAAAGCACATCCCTCTCCTTAGATCACAGTTCATGACTGTCAAACCTTGCTTGTGTCTCCATCAGCCTGGAATGAAAGTATAAAGTCCTACTCAGGACTGAATGCATTATACTTCTGGTGCTCTGGCTGAGGCAGCAGCACTGTGATGTGCATCATTAATATTAAATCAGAGTAATCTAAAAAATGTGCAGCTTTCAATATAAACTTGATTTGAAAAAATAAATCTTCTTTCCAACTAGAGTCAACATTCAATCAGTGACCAAAAAAGTGTAAGGAGGGGAACAAAGTATTAAAATAAATAACAATCCCTACATTTAATACAGCAACTTTCACTTTGGGAGGACGTCTCACAGAATCTCACCCTGTGTATTTTGTAGACAGGAAGAGCTGCCAATCATGTTGGATAAATTACTTAATTTACATTAATACCCAAAAGAAACAATGTGCCTATTCAATAGTTGAATGATATATTTAGGATATTAGGGTAAATTAGATTAAAACACATTTGATAAATTTAAATAGCCTTGCTAAATAATTTTTAGGTACTTTTGAGCGCATAATCTTGGAATTAGGAACTATCTATTAATGAAATACTTGACTTAATAAATGTTTAAATTCAGTTTATTAGAAATCATTTTTCTCTTTATAATTCAAGCACATTTTTTTTCAATACTGTTATGCTCTTCAGAATAGTATTCATTAAGTGTGCTAGCTGGATTTTGTTTGTATACACATTAGAGCGAATGAAAACAAGAGTTCCCTAACTATTAAACCAAGCAAATCACATCTTGTTATGATTCTTGCAACAAATTCTTACATGCTGTTAGGAATTAATGTGTTATGTTAATTAGGCTGATGTTAATATGCAAATTCAGTTATGCATAAAAGGCACTCTGTTTGAATTCAAAACCTCTCAATTCTTACCTTTATGAAAGTAGCAGGATATACAGTGAATATACATTGTCCTTATTGACTGAACGTCAGTGAATTTATGGGGAATAATGTATTGATCATGAAAATGATGTGGAGTTATGGATATATTTTCAATCCTGCATAAAAGTAAGTTCATTATTATAGCGCTTTTACAAAATGACTTATTAAACAGGAAGAATCTGTTTCCAGTCCTTAATCTACAGTCAAAGTAATGTTACTTGAATATAAATGTAATTTGTTGCTGTTGTTGAATGAAGTGCATCATGAGCAGCAATCTTATTGGCACTGCCACTATGCTACTATAAGATTGGTGTCTCATTCACATCAAGGAGTTGAAGTCATGTGTGCTGGAACCATCAAGAAAACACCAGCATACTGCCAAGTTTCCAGTTCTCATCTATTCCAGGCAAAGGAATAGGGGTTGTAGGTTGTAGATGGAAAAAACTGCCCACAAGCCACCATCCGGCCTTGGACACTTGAGTTATTGCCCACAATATCATAATACGGTTGTGCCTTTTTTGTTCATTGGCTAATGACTTATATTGGTGGAAAGAGGATTGATTTTTATATAAAGTATATGTTCTTATTAAAATGCCATGGATGTGTTTTAATACAGTTGTTGTTAGTTATCGCTTTAGTCTTTAATACCGAATGCTACATTTTCCACATTCTGTAGATTCTGTATGTATTCTGTCTGCAAAACATGCACTGTAAAGCAGCCTTACAACTATTTTCAAGTAACATCTTTTCACAGAGAGGCAAAATTTAGTAGTATTTTAAGCTTCAGCCTCTTTGTTTACTGGTAAACTGAAAGCATCACCCAGAACAATATAATGCTGCTTCCCTTATCGACCGAGTCCTATTGGTAAGCAATGGACAAAACATGATCTCAGTTTGTCAGTCATGTTTTTCCTTTGCAATCGATATTATCAGGTTCCCGCATTCTAGGATCAGATCATGTTTATGGTCTGTCCCAGTAGGATTTCCACGTTGACATATTGTACTGACATTGGTGGAATAATAATACTAATATCAGTCTAGCTGATTGCGGTGCAATGACAATGTCCTTTTTTGCTTGCCTCTGAGCTGTGTTTTCTGCTCTTAAATGAATCCTGCTATTATTTTATTAAGTTGCCCAAAAAATAAATAGAAGCAAAGATGATAACATTAAAAAAATGTAACCTAGCAGCAACCTAGGTTACAATATAGACACTGTTTTTAATGCTAGCTTTAAGAACATAGGTTATTGTAATCTTATCATGTACTGCCAAAGGATGAATAAAATTCAAAGCTAATTGTTTCACATACTACAATTTGGGGATTAAGATAATTGGCCAAATAAACAAGTGAACTGTTCACTATATTTGAGATTTCATAAAAGGAAATTAGAATGGTTCTTGATGGCAGATATGAATGAAGCTTAAAATGTGGATACATTTAGCATTCTTTTTTACCTTTAAAGTTTTAGTAGCAATCCATACAAAGCAAATACATGATAAGTATGATTTGACTCTAGTGTGAAAAAAAACTTTCTTAAATGTGTATTTATTTGGAAGAAGCCTTCCTTATCCTTCCTCAGTCATTCAGCTCACTACATCAACTCTCCTTTCTGAATACAACTTAGAAGGATAGGATGGATGAGTCCACTGATATCTTCTGGACACTGCAAACACCAATCCTTGGTTGATTAACTAGAAAGGCACTATTGTGTGGAGTGGGAAAGGACACTCCCTTCCCACACAGCACAGTCCAGACTGAGAAACTCCCTGCAATGCCAATACAATATATATCCAGACTGGAAATTAGCTCCTTACTGCAATGATCTACGTTTTCATGTCTAGGTCCATAATCAATTAAATTAATAGATAGATAAATAAATAAAGGTACCCATTTTATTTATTAATTATTTGCTATTTTTCTCAAGTGAAATACCAACAAAAGGCGAATCTTTGTTAAATTCTCTGTGGTGTATCACACCCACAGAATTGCGGACTGATACTCCTGTCAACACAAACCAAGTCAATCTTATGTGTGCACCTTGTGTTTACTGCTCCCAGATCTATGAGATGTAAGGCTGCAGAGCCTGTTAAATTCAGCAGCAGATCGAGACCAACAACAACAACAACAACAACAAAATTATATATGTATAGCGCCCAAAGCACTGCACCTTTACCAAACAGATCGAAATGAAGGTGACTGAAGGAACTTGGTACAACGTGAGCCCTGATCGATGCGAGATCGGTGTCACAGGTCTCTCCTGTGTGCAATCTCTCTCTCTCTCCTGAAGCAGCAACTCGCTGGGTGGAATCAATGCCAATTGCAATTGAACCTTTCTCAGCAAATAAATAGTTTTGAATCAACCTGTTTCCCGTCTCACGATTATATCCAAAAGCTGATTGTAATGTAATAGGTTGGCCCCCTGATGCTCATGAGGTATCGTGTTTCTAATCGATGCAAAAGCACTGACAATCTCCCCCTCTTCCACGTTCCTACTTCATCTGCTTTTTCGAGGGTACAGCAAATGCACGATGCCAGTAGTGAGGCTGATTTGATAGATAAATCAGCACCAGAGCTCATCTTCATCTCCCGACAGTGGGGTATTTAAAGGCTCTGCTTTCTACCGTTCCCCCGATAGAGCCCAGACCCCCCCCATAACAGGACTGCCCCGGCAATCACAGGGCATTACAGCGAGTCTGGGAGCTCCAGCCCTTTCCTCTCCATCCCATGTCCCCCTCCCGGGGAAAGGCACTCAGCAGCATTTGGCAGCTTTGAACCCTCTCTACCGCGTTGTGCAATCGATTTCACAACCTCTCCTCGCAAATCCTTCAGCCTCTCCAGGACCCTTTCCAGCTGTGAGTGAGAACCGAGCTCAGACCCCGTTCCCAGCTCAGCTGAGACAGACTTTTTTTTTTCTCTCTCTCTCTCTCTCTCTCTCTCTGAAGGCTCAATGTCATTATTTATTACCTTGAAATACAAACGCTTTGCTTCCATTGTCAAATCCTTGGACCTGGACAATCCCCTCAGTCGAATCGTCCAGTTGCAGAGCAGAAAAGACATCAATTTCCAAGGCTGGATCCACGCCAAACCCTAAAACTAACACGAACCAGATGTTACTGCGCATTTTGGGGGGCATTTGGAGCGCTGTTTTTTTTTAAAAAAACACACAAAATCCTTTCGTTACCAAATGATGACAATTCTGCCATCTCCTCCTCGCTCGTCTTTTATTAACTACACCTTTTTGAAGCTTAAAACAAAACGTGGAAACAAAGAGCGAACAGCAATGAACACATCGGATTCGCCTTTGTTAGTTATGTTACACACATATATATATATATGTGTGTGTGTATATTGATGCTAAACTTAGGACAACCACATTTCCCCACATCACAAGCTCAAATCGCTTCTCATGCTATTTCCAAAACAGCAAACACACCTTTATTGCCTGTAAATACTCCTTCGGGGATGGGGATGGGGTGGGAGGGGAGTGGGGAGAGTGATTTTTGTATTAAATCTGATTAATTCGAAAACAATGAGGTTTGAAGAAATCTTGGCTGGTTTGCCGGGGAGATCAAATCCTTGTAAAAAAAACTCCTGAAGGAAGAAAGGAAGCGAGGAAGGAAGGAAGGAAGGAAGGAGGGAAGGAAGGAAGGAAGGAAGGAAGGAAGGAAGGCGACATTTACCTGATGCGATGTGAAAAAGTGCGAAGACAGTCCCGATGATCCCGAATGCCATTGTCAGGAAACTCTCAGTCCATTGTACAGTACAGTGTATCTGTGCTCAGAGCTTTTCCTTGTGGGGATCACTGAGGAGTTGGAGGCGACCAGATGCAATTCAGAGGGAATAAGGACAGGGTCCTCCTGCGTTTAACGCCTCATCAATAAACCTCTCCAAAAAACACGCACTGGGCACCATCGCCCAGTCACATCCACCCCGTCACACACAACACCGACAGCAATCACAGTTGTTCCGGATTAAAAACAAGGGGTATAGATGTGGAGAGGTGTTGCAGGGAGACAGGGCAAGGCAGGGAGACAGGGCAAGGCAGGGAGACAGGGCAAGGCAGGGAGACAGGGCAAGGCAGGGAGACAGGGCAAGGCAGGGAGACAGGGCAAGGCAGGGAGACAGGGCAAGGCAGGGAGACAGGGCAAGACAGGGAGACAGGGCAAGGCAGGGAGACAGGGCAAGGCAGGGAGACAGGGCAAGGCAGGGAGACAGGGCAAGGCAGGGAGACAGGGCAAGGCAGGGGGACAGGGCAAGGCAGGGGGACAGGGCAAGGCAAGGAGACAGGGCAAGGCAGGGGGACAGGGCAAGGCAGGGAGACAGGGCAAGGCAGGGAGACAGGGCAAGGCAAGGCAGGGAGACAGGGCAAGGCAGGGAGACAGGGCAAGGCAGGGAGACAGGGCAAGGCAGGGAGACAGGGCAAGGCAGGAGAGGATTGCTTGTCACACGCTGCAGACTGAGAGAGTGGATCTGTTGTATGTGTGTATCTGTCTGGGGTGTCTGCTGGAGACTCGCTTTCCCAGCGCTGTCTGGACACACACTGCTCTGTTGCAAAACAACTGGCGGTTCAGGGCCATTCACACCCCCCTCCCCCCCCCCCCCCCCCCCCCCCCTGCCCCCGCCTTGTGTGTTTCTCGCCAAAGCAAGAAGCTGATGGCAAAGGGGGAGATTTCAATGCTGCTGACAGTGTGCAGCCCGTGTCTGTGTGTCTGTCTGTCTGTCTGTGTGCTGTGCAGTGCAGATGCTTTCATCCAACCTGGAGCTGAAATACCTTTAAACCCAAATTAGAGTAAAACTTCTTAATACATTTTGTTTTAATTCACAGAGTAATATCCCCTTTCATCAATATATATACACATATATATATACAATATATATTAGGATTATATATGTACATATATATATATATATAATCCTAATTCCATTCGCCATATCTCAATACAGCAGCTTCTACTTGAAGAAGAATAAGGCTTTCAGTACCTTGTGTTAACGTGTCTAATATAGACTCTGTTTCCGATAACTTGAAGACATATAATGTTTGCAGCTGAACCTGTATTTTGAAACCTAATGGTTTTATTTGGTAATTCTAACACACACCGTTAGTTATGTCTCTTCAACTTAGGGCGAATTCTGGATTCTTTTAAGCAGTGAATCTGCATCTGAGGATTTACTGTGAGATTCTGGTTATTGCGTCCTCTTGAGTATCTGCTGAAACTAAAGCAGCAGCAATGCAAGTCAGTCCCAGTGAAGTCAGATTCAAGTGAAATCGTTGTGTGCTTTCCAAAGATGTCGATCTGTTCCTTGTTGCCTCGAGTTGCCAGAACTGATTCTATACTGTGCTGTGCTTTGCAAATTGACTCTGGTTCCAAGAGCTCTCGTTTCCCCGAAGAATGGTCTGGAATCAGCACCTTTTTTTTTAAAAAAAAGGAAAAAAAAAAGAAAATGTCATTTCGAAACTCAGCCATTATCAGGTGCAGGTAAATGTTTTGTGACACGAGGTTTCCGTCACTCTGTTGCTCTTTGAGGCGTAAATAATGCAATAGCAGTGGTGTGAGGAGGTAATCATTTTAATGTAACTTAGAGGGTCATTGCATTTAATTGCACACTGAACTGAGACAACGGACAACAGTGAGTGTTTCACTGTGAATGGTGTATTCTCTGCCGGAGTTCACGGTTCACTCTATATATAGAATGGATAATCAGAGAACTCGCGAGTTAGGTTTGAATACAGCCCAAATCAACCAAGAGACACGACACATCCTGCATTCAGACACCATTCCTCTGCACATTGCATATGCTGTACAAGGTTCCACATTGCCTGATTTCTGCTTATATGTCTGTGCACTGCACTTTCTGCCACGTTAGGGGAATCGTGTTTCTGTACTTTTGACATCACTGTTATCAGAAGTCTATTGTAGTAATAATAATAATAATAATAATCCTTGCATTTGATATAGTGCTTTTCACGTCGGGAGGACGCCCCAAAGCGCTTCACAGAATATACTGTAAAGTGAATTGACTGTATATTTGTGGGCGAACGCGGCAGCCAATTGCGCACAGCAGTGTCCCACAAACAGTCATGGATTGAAAATGAACAATTTTTATTATTGTTTTGTTTTTTGGAGGGATTATTATTAGGCGTGTGGAGTAAGGAAACTTGCCCAAGGTTTCGCCCAGCCAGGAATTGAACCCAGGTGTCTCACTTGCAAAGTGAGTGCTCTAACCACTGAGCTACAGGACTCCTTATGTACTATAGTAACCATGAAATCATCCATCCACCATTCAATACATAAAGCCTTTTTACCAGTGTTGACTCCCTGGTACATCACTCTGCATGAACAGAAGCAAAGATAAACAAAGACCTCGACCATGATAGGTGGGATAGGGGATGAGTGACAGTACTGATGAAAAGGCACATGCTAACCATCCTATCCTTCTTCACACACTTATTGATCCCTTATCCATTTCCTAGATTTCCTGTTCTTATTCCTTTTTTTTAGCATTTTAATGTTTTCATCAATAACAGATGTGTTCTGGGTCTCCCATGGATTAAGGCTTATGAGAATACGCAGCCTTAAAATTCAAGACACTTGTTATTCAGAATTGATCATCCGTTATATTGCAATATATACCATTTGAGGGACATACTGCTATTCATAACAATAATCCCCATTTGATCCACTTGTTAAGGCAAACGTATGTTCCTGACCTGCATCATTATCTCTTTTTGATGGTGATCGCACAAGTAATATTGGCAGAAGCTTTTTTTTAAAAAAGGCAGCCAAAGCTGTAAAATTGGAATCTTCAAGTTTATGTTTGATGTGCGTTTCAAACCCTATAAGGCTAGGTGATCAATTGTGCACCCACAAGGTTTATATAAAATACTTAATAGTGGACATGTGATTTATTCGCAGATATATCGTGTACCCCCCCCCCCCTCACCTGCATTTTACAGGTGTAATTAAACACATTGATTTACAGGTTGATTTTATCTACTTTAGGGCCACAATTTAACACTTCTTCCTCAGAATTCACTGGAACCGTTGTATTCAGTGACTCAGTGACATCGGAGCAAATATAGAAGCCTGATGTTATCTGGCACCAATTTACTGTGATTACTTGTCCCATGCTGCTCAAAATTAGCATAGCAAAGAAAATAACAGCAGGTAAAGATTTAACGAACACATAATGTTTGTAATATATACAAATATGCGGCACAATCTGTACAGTTACAAATGCATTCTAATATCAAATCCAGCATTTCCCATTGCTATTCTAGACTTATACAATATTATCCAGGCTACACAGCATTTTTTTAATGTCTTGTTACACATGTTATCAGCAATTAAGTTATAAAGGAAGCACAATTACAATGCATGCATTGCAATAAATCTGATTGTGAAATGTATCTGAACATCACTTGCCTGTAAAGTGTCTTGGTGAACAGATGGGGACTGGTTGCAGTACACGTGGGAATACATTTCTAGTGTGTTCATAAAGTCAATCCTATTTTTGGAAATTATTGAAGCTTTAATATAGGAAATTGTAATAAAACACAGACATCTCGACAGTTGCACTGATACAGCCTAAACGCATATCAATGGTGGAAGAACACGGATTCCACATTTTAAATTGGCAGATGAAAATATTTAGTAAAATAGTAACTTTTTGTATATTATCAAACTTTTGATTTAGAAAAATATCTAACTGCTTCCTAGAAGTTCTTCTTGGTGTCCTAGCCAAGAATTCCCCCCAAAAAATTGGACATTCATATCATGGCTGTTTGTGGGACATTTCTCTGTGCAAATTGACTGTCACATTTGCCTATGCGTTTGCCTACAAATATGCTACCACTACACTTTATAGTAAAATTTGTGAAACACTTTGAGACATTTGATGAAGTAACAAAACATGTGATCACGTTGCTGGGGAACAAAGATGTATGCAAAATATTATCTTTATATANTTTTTGAATAATATTTCTCATCTCATGTTACTTATTTCCTTAGTGCCTCCCTGCCAATCCAACTAAGTGGGAAAATCACAGGGTAGCCTATATTACCATTCACATTTCAACATGGAAAGGTGCTATATCAACCCCAAGGATTCTTATGATTATCATTATATGTTACCAGGCATATTAGTTAATTTCTGAAACCACATGCACTCACCACATGGCTGTTTGTGGAGCATTTTTGTGCACAAATTGGCTGCAGCAAGCGGCTACAAATACATGATCACTGCACTTTACAGTAAATCGTCTGAAGCTCTTTGTGATGTTTCAAAGGCATTATACTAAATGCAAAGATTATTACTATTAGCTGTATTGGTTCTTTAAATTATTCTATTGTAGAGAATTACTATGACACAGTTAATTATAATGTGGCCTTCATATTCCCTCCTATTACTTTGATTCATGTATTTGGGTTAATACCTGTAGTAATTTACTAGTCTCAGGGAAGACAAAGTTAGATGTCAAATTCAAAGACAATTGCACTTCCGTTGTGGAAGCCATAGCTCCTCATTCTGTTCCTTTGATTAATGAGCCACTGTGAATTGCAGTATACTATATATCCAATGACTGAACAAAAGGATTGAATGATCTGAGACCAGAACTTAGCTACATGAAGGCAATTGGAAACATTCGTGAAGAATTCTTGAAGAATTAATACAGTACATTTTAAACCTGTTCACTTGCACAGTCCTGTATTTAGTTCTGAACAAACTGTCTATACATTTCAGACATTATTCACCTCTGTCTGAACACCAAGTGTTATCTTTATTGTTCAAGATAACTTAACATCCGTGTAAAGTTCAGGAAACAATCTGTGCATAAACCAGATGTCCTAAAACATGAATATTAGCAAAAGGATCTGTTGTTAAAAGAGAACAGAAACATTCAGAATGAATGTCACTATGGCAAGGACTCAGTATTAGCTTTGTCAGAGTTATACTGCGCTGTTGAAAAAGCTTAGCAGAAAAGTGTTCCGAGAAGAGACACTTTACATTTCATTTTCAATAAAAAGAAAACAGATGAGATATGGAATGTTCTACA